CCTGATAGAAGTTTTTCGATTTTTTTAGACTTTTTTAAGATAAAGGTGGTAATGATTTGACTCAGTCAGCAGAGCCATAGACAATAGCATTGCCCCTGAATCGTTGTCTATTCACATTGGTTATTCACTCTTGAGAGCATTCACATTCCTATACCAACCCCTCCCATTCCATCCCATCATATCTCATCCCATCCCATCCCATCGAAAAGTGTTTACACTTGTCATTGCATTGCTTAATTGCACTTGCCATTCGCGTTTCGTGTGTAGGAAATGAAGTACAGGAAATCCATGACATGAGGCTCGCCCGTTTTCACGCCAAACATTTTGCATATTAATATTGTACACACACACATACACACTTACATATATACAGAGACATTCGTAGTAATTTGCATATGGCCAAGTGTACTGAGTGGTTGTGGTTGTTTTTGCTTTTGTTGTTCCCATCAACTCATTGTAACCTGCAGTCAGTCATTCACACGCATTCGTTCGAGCGATCGCAAAACACGTCAACACCTACGACCATAAAGAAGACGATGACAACAGCAACAACAAAACCAACAACAACAACAACACCAACCAGATAGTCACTGTCACTTGAAAGCCCCACAAACCCAACGATTCCGGCGTCAATCTTTCAAGCATTGCCCACGGCCCACGTCTGATGATTGTCTGTCTAATGGCGTTGAACGAATCAAAGTGATTGGAAAACTGTGCGCGACCACTTCGCCGACATTTGGCACAACCCACAGCTCTATCTGAGGGCTATGTGTCACACTCAAAAGATACGTTTTTCAGTTTTTCTCAATTAGTAAAACAAATAGTGTCCTTACGACAAGGAAGCTCAATGCAAATAACATGACTTTGTTGTGGAAAACTCCAGAAATTCTCACAGAAAAATATAAGTTACGACAAAGATTTGTGTGCAGGCATTATTGATTTACATTCAATTAAAGTCATATTTAAAATGTTTTTCCATAATCTATTTTATGCACAAGTTGTGTCGGCTTTTACTCTTCCGATAGTTGCTTTAATTTGTTGAAAAGAAACCCCATTGGTACTATCAATAACTAATTATGAAATACATTTATGTATTCGATTTTTGGAAATAAAAGCAGCGCGTTATATCGCCTGATCTTTAAAAGACACTAAAACAAGTTCTATCTCGTTTCAAAATTCAAATGTAGTCCAATCTATTACAGAAAGTGTGCTGACAGATTTTAGGTGAAAAGTGTGAAACCATCCGATTTCGATTTACAAAACCTATGTACATATTATTTTCAGAAGAAATATTGTCACTCTTCTAAATTCCTAGTTTTCTCCATAGGTGTCAATTCAGACTTTCATTTCATATGCATTGCATAAAATATTTTTCGGACATCTCTCTTTTTTTTTCAATTTCTACTCAATTTGAATGTGAACTCTTCTTTAGTTCTATAAAGGGACATGAAAGTACGAGTCGAGACCTAAAATCTGAAAGTTTACCATTGGCCAAGCCAAAAAGGTAAAATGGATGATTTTTAAAACTTGTTGATAAACAGAACGCAATTCATAAAAGATTATATATGTAGCATTGATTCACATAAATTGGCAACAAATATCTTTCCAATATCTGATGATTTTGTAAATTCTTCAAGCTTTTTGAAGTGTTTAAATAAAGTTTTAATACAATTCTTGTTGAACACAAGCAGCCCTCCACTCCCTAATTCACAAAGATTAATAGGTGAATATATTTCATTGACAGACCTGGCGGTGAACAGATCCCTCATGGGATTCGTCAGCTCATTGTTTTTGAATCTACGCAGCAGTCCAATAACAGGGGAACCCTACAAAAAGTGGTCCTATCTTTGCTCTAATTAACTCAGCAGTATCGACGCTGTCGAACTAGATATAGGCTTGGGGTCGGCATTATCATTACACCAAGTGCGAACAATTATTCCATTTAGGATTCACAATATTTTGGAGCGAGCACATTTTTTCTTTTTATTTATTTAACTTTAATTTGTTGAATTTAAATTGTAATAAATTGTATAAAACTTTTATTGAGATACTATGACAAACTTTTATTCTTTTATAAAAATGTTTTCTCATATCGGTTTTGAGCAAATAGTAAATGAAATTAGTGGTAGTTAAGTGAAATTTAATTTGATTCAAAAATTAGTAAAAATACAATTATTTATTTCATTAAAATCGTAATTATCTTTTAATTAATTTATTTTTGAATTAATTATTTTGACCCTCGAAACTGAAAGGTCTACGACAATAAATTTAGTTGAAGCTTCCAAGCCCTTTACGATTTTTTAAATTACAAATACAATGGCAATCCTTTATTGAATTCTTTTCTCTGAGTACCTTATTGTGGACATATATTTTGTATCTCGGGTTTGCGGTTATGTTTCAGCTCTGCAGGTTTTTCCATATTTTTTTCTCATTTTTTCTTCTTCTTTTTGGCTAATAACTCATGCTCCATTTGGCTCTGACATTTTGCGGTGGCGAGCGAGCGAACGAGCGCGCGCGCGCTATCGCAATGAAAATGTCAAATGTGCCCCATATGGACAAAATGTTCTACAGTTTCCACATTGTTCAGTTATACACACACACACACACATCAGCAGCAGCAACAACCACAGCCACGTGCACAAAATACTAAACAAAAAAAAAAAAAACAATAATAAAATGCAATGAACAAACAAAAGCCACAAATTCGAATAAAAATTTCGATAAAGTCAAATAAACTTTAAGTAATGCAGTCGGACACTCGAAAGGCAATTGCTATGTGCCATATTTTTTTTCTTTTTTTTTGTTTGATTGTTAATTCTAAATTATTTATGCGCGCAACAACTAAAACAACAAATTTCCTTTGTTGGCTTTTGTGACTATTCGCGCTTTTTTGTAGTTCGTGTTGCTCTCATTGTTGTTATTGTACTTGCTGTTAACAAATTTGCATGCAACAAAGTGTTCAGTTCATTTTTTTTTCTCTTTAATTTTCTTGTTGTTGTCTTTTTTTTTTGTCGACTGTCGTGTGTTTTATGTGCATGAAATTTGTTTGTCATAAATTTTGCATGCATTGCAGCTTTTTTTCTTCCATTCCATTTTCTGTTAACTTGCCACGGGGCATGGAAAGGTGCAGTAACAGCAGCACCAGCAAGGAGTGGGTGCTGTTTGAGTTGCCGCTGCCGGAGGAGGGGGTTGCCATGAAGGCGAACATGAATAATACTTAATTAGGCCGTGAACTAAGAGTGATCTTGATAGCAAATATTTAAGGTACTTAGGTGTCTCTCTGGGCTCAATTTGATTTGGTAGAGGCTAGAATACCCTTTACCCACAATATACATTTTAGGCTTTTTTCTATGACAACTACAAGACATAATGCAACGATTTTTATGGAACTTTGGAATCTTGTGCGACACTCTACAAAACTCATAAATACCATAAGATATTTTTGTAAACATACAATTTATCCTGCTAATATTCTCTGGCAGGAATGTGTAGAAAATAAGGCTATTAATAAGACAAGTCCTCGTACCATGTTTGGGGTCCTTAGTAATGTCCTTAGTAATGCTATAAGAGTTGTGGTATTCATATGGACGGACAGAGCAAAATATATTTATCGATTTGTCTCCTTATGTACAGCATTATGGCGTTTAAACTGCTAATATAGGCTTAACTCTTTGGGTACAAAATATACAATCAAAAAAAGAAAGTCGATAGCTTCCAAATAACATTTAAACCCCTAGTTGGAAAATCATTGACATATACAACCTATAAAAATTCCTTCTATGTATCGAAAGCAATTTAGAATAATTTGAATATATTAAGCTATATCTTCAAACATTTGTTTTATTAAACACTTACGGTTCTTCAGTTTCTATCAACTTTTAGACATCCAATTTGATTTCTATCCTTTTTCTAAGCCTCATTCTCAACTAATTTTAAAGCTGTAATTGCTCATTTTTCTGTTGCGCATATCGAAATTTTTCAGGGCTCCGATAATTTCTATTGATTCTCATGTCTTTATAAAAAAGTTCCTCATATAATAAAGACTTTTCAAAACTTTATCACTAGAGTTGGTTTATGTTCATGTATGTTTTGTAACACTAGATGGAACCACAACATATTCAATTTTGTTAAAGACCTTAATTTGTTTAAAAATAATTACGGAAAAGCAGAAAATAGAACATACAATTATTATAATCTTTAGCTTGCCTTCATCTTAAATTAAGGTCTTTGATCTTTGTAGGCTTCTTTAATGTTTTAATTCAACACTTCATTTGGCAAGAGCTCTTTGTGAAATAATTTCACTTGTCCTTGGCCATGTTGTTGCCTTTGTTGTCGTGCTCAGACATTAACATATAATAAACATTTAATTAATGACAATAATTGCACTCAGCAGCGACACTTAACCAGGCGCTGTCAGTCAAACAAGCTCCGAGGCAGAAGCGCGTGTCATGTCAGGGGCGTCTCTCCCCGGACATTCCTCGCAGTTGCGCGTGTGCGTGTGTATTTGTGTCGAATAACAAACATTTAAAAATTAAAATATACACACGCATAAAATGGTTAATAAATTCAAGTGACGCCGCACAGCAAGCAAGCAACGACAACACTATTGTTTTCTCTGTGCGGCCCATGTGGCGTATGCGTATTTTCTGCCCACATAATGAGAAAATGGCGGGATGGAAACCCGAAGAGGAAGAGAAGTAAATACACGGGCCGATGAAGCAACCCACGCTGCCGGGCTTACGCAACAATCGAATTGTGCTTTTAATTAAATTTTATTACATAAATATATATATGTATATGGATGTATGTAAATATTTTTTTATACACAATAAAAAAGGGCAACATGAAACTCACTCGCTTGTAATTAAATGTAAAGCGGCAATTTCTCATCGTATGTGCAAATATATTAACGTAAGGAACGCTATGGCGGGCATATACTACTTGTATACGAGTATGTATGTATGTATGTGTGTATGTATAAATATTTAAGTACTACTTACGTTTTCATGCTTGAAAAAGCAAAGCATTTTCAGTTCGCGAAAAACGCGTTTCGATGAGACCAACGATTGAAACACATTCGGTAGCTTTTTCAGTGCAACGCGTCGTCCATCTCGTGGATCTGTCACAGCCCTAAAAATATAGAAACAGAATAGATATTGTAATAATCTGTTTGAGAGATTAAAATTTGATTGACTATAGTAGCAGTCGTAAACATTTTTCCATTATCGGACGACTCTTAAATGTTATAAAATATTATCGATTCCGACGTTTCTTCAAAGTTAATCGACTTCAAAGAGCTGTGGACTTAAATAAAATGTAGCCCTCACAGCCATGTTTAAAACATTTCTTAAAAACAGTAACAGTATGGCAAATGTTTTCTTTCCAACATCTAATGTTAGTTATTTTTTTTAGCAATTAGTTTAAGTGGAAAAGTGGAAAACTCTTCCAACCGTAATTGAATTTCAATTTCATGTCGAATATTTTATCGCTTAGCATATATTGAGATTTCCAAAACATTTCGATTAAAAATACAATTATTAATTTAATTCAAAACACAAAGATCTTTTAAGAACGAGAGAGCTATTTTGGTAGGAATAGTTTTTAAATTAAAGATTTTGTGTAAAGGTTTCAAGGGTCTAGTTTAAAAGAAAAAAAAAAAAACAATAAGCTTTGGTTAATCTGACAAGCTACGAGTTTTCAAGGGCAATTAACTAAAAACGCACGCAAATTTCTACAAAACCAAATTATTGAGAGTCAAAACGCTTATCAATTTTTTTTTATAAATCAAAATAATTATTGAATTAAAAGTTACGTATGCTTTTTAAGGAATTAATCTTATTAGTGTAGTATAAAAGTCTACACAAATGAATTTTGATTTTGGTTGGACTTATCATTTATTTTTTTAATTCCTCAAAGAACATTATATATTATTACAGTTACTTCAAAACTAAGACTAACTTGGTTTTGTTCACCATAATAAGCAGCCGTTTCAACACTTGAGTTTTTACTCTGCAATATACATACAAATTAATATTTATATTAAAAGCTGTTTGATTTCTCTTTGGGATTTGCGTAATCCTTTCTTTAAATACATATATTTTCGTTTCCATTGCCGGTATCATATTTGAAACATAAGTAATTTTCGAATTCATTCAATGCCATATATATGTTTGTATTTGTATGTCATTTACCTTTTCTTCGTTTCAAAGTCTTTGCTGAGCCTAAGCCTAACAGCCATCAGATATTGTTCGGTTGGCCGACGTGCACTTCAAAAATATGACAAATAAAACGACAAAGAGACGCCTCCCTCCCTTCCCATTCAGCTGAGTCAAGTGTCGCATTACAAGACAGAGAAAGAGAGAGATAGAGTGAGAGAGAGGGGAGGGGACAAAAGTTCCGAGCAGTTAAGAGCCACTAAAAAATCTGCGATTGTGTGCGCGTGAGTTGAGAGTATTAATGTTGTCGTCAAAACAAAAGGCCAATGTAGACAACGGCAAATGCCAAACGCAGTTCAATGAACTTCATGGCTAGATGGGCGATAGAGACAAAGGGCGAAGGAAAAAGGCCTACAATAAATACAATAACAAATGCGCTATATAAATAAATATATATATATATATATACAAAGAATGTTTACCCGCTCAAGTGGCCTTTAAGCTGCGCCTATAAGTATGCATAAAGTTTTGTATGCGTTTGGGATAAGCGTTTGAAATTAACGCCAACGGAAAAGGTCAAAAAATGCAGAAGCACACGCAATGAGTCGCAAGTCTGTCTACAGACTCTGTCTGTTGACCACAGTAGTCAACATTTGCCCAAATAAATGTCGAATTTCTATCACCTTTGAACTTGCAAAACAAATTTGCCACAAAAGGTCAAACAAAGGAAGCTTCTTGTATAATTGAAAAGACTAACATTTACAGATGTGTAGAAAACTTTCTACTTATTATTTGAATTCCAATTTGTTTAAAAACTTTTCAAATATATAAATTGGAAGGGGATTTTTTTTGTGTTCTTCAAATTCAATATTATTATAAAAGCAGTATGTTTGAGTTTCTTGGCGGGCAATGAAGTAAAGGCTTAGTGAACAAATATAAATTGAATTGCCAACCTTTTTCTCTTTTTCCCCGCTAAAGTCAATAATTTCTGTAGCAACTATGTGAAGTAGTGCAACAATTTTAAGGAAAATTTTGAATATCATAAACAAAATGTCAAACTTTTTAAAGCTATCTTCATAAACGCCCTTAGTAGGATAAATATAAGTCTCTAAGTATAGTCCATATAAAAAGTATAGTCTATATAGTCGCAAAGGCAAAGAACCCCTAACCCTTTTCAAATAAATATTTTTAACATTTTACCAAATGAAAGTGATTTTTTAGGACTATTTGACAAAAGTCCTTCAGTTTTCAATGAATTTTGAATTTTTGCTGAAATATTTTGAATATTCCTGCCACTGTGAGAAGTCGCTGCCATATTCATAGTCGAGTCCTAGGCGTTCACTCGCTTGGCGTCAGTTTGGTGCGCAAACAACAACAAGAGGTTTTTACAAGGCAAGACTTTTATGATGCCATTGGCCATGGCCATCACATGCTAGGACAGAACGACGACACTGTCTGCGAATGTCTGGGCAGGACGACGTCTTTGTCCTTACACTGTCGCCTTCTTTTTTTTTTGTATATATAGATCTATACTACTTATATATGTGAATATGTATATGCATGTCTATCTGACTGTTTGCGTGTTTTGTTGTTGCAGCAAAAAAACAAAAATATTTTTGTTATTTTGTTAGGTTTTTGTGTGTGCGAAAAATTGCGCAGCAGAGCAGTTCCCCCATCCTTCGTCCATTTCTTTTTCCATTTTTTCATTCACTTTTCTACTCGCCGCCAGCTGAAAAGTTAGCTGCAGTAAATCTTAAGCAGTTGCCTAGACACTTAAGCGTGGAAATTCAGAAATTATGGCAAATTGGCGCACATGAATGGAAATGACTCAGCGTTTTCATTGACGCACCACACAGATTAGATTAAGTATACGCAGGTTTGGGCAACGATTTGCATGTCTAATGTAATGAAATAATGAAAATGTTGTCTGCCACTGAGCTTTTATGGCATTGTAGTAAGTGGTCAATGAATGAGGTATACTCGTATACAACAACATAGCTAAAGATTTAGTGTTTGCTGCAAAGTTAGTGCTAAGTCAGCAATTAAGTAGGGGAGATGTCCAGAAAACTCCAATGGGTATTACTTCTACTTGCTTAATAAAGCCATAACTTTCATTTGTAAGTGATATTGGACGTAGAAAAAAAATTATAATTTGTTAATCAAAGTAAGAGTTTAAAAATTTATTTTTGTTTAAAGACTCGACGAAATGCCTGGGAACAAAAGTGCTAATAAGCTGGCGTGGGTAACCGAAACCGCTTCTGCGGACTTGGTTGGTCATCAGTCAAGGCATTGATAGATAAAGGGTTCGAACTAGGACGAGGAAGAGCCACATACCATATTTTATACCACTGGCTGTTGTGGCTCACAAGTTCGCGGCTTTAATACAGTTTAATACAGACGTTTATGTTTTTTAAATATTTTGACATGCATATGGCCATTTAATAAGCTCGATTTTGTTGACGATTCAAGCTCAATAATGAATACAAAGCCATTTTAAATGTTGCTTCATTTTCATCATTATTATCATTGAGATTGTGCAAATACACATATTGATATTTTAAATGTGTGAGTAACTTGGGTGAACAAATATAAGTAATTTAAACAAAAGCATTCAATTTGCTCAGAATAAACTTGAAGATATTTGTAATGAAAGAAGGCGAACCCTTGCGAATCCTTGACTACCTTTACGAGTATGTATTTTGCAAAGTGCACGCTTTGCCAATTGACCGTTGCTCCTTTTAATATATTGTAAACATTTGTACCTCTAGCTGGCCTTTTGCACCCTTTAGCTGCTGGCCAACTTGTATTTAAACCTTTACAGTGTCCCCCCAAACGGGCTAAGAAAGCACGCATAAAATGCGCCATAAAAGCACATAGACCTTGACGTCAAAGTCAAACAAGAAAATCGAACACGCTTTTCCGGCACACTCTCACACACACACGCACACACACACATGAGTTTAGAACCGCAAACAGAACAGTTGGTGCACACATTAATATTTTATGGTCATCTATCAAATCGAAACTGAACAAAAAGAGGGAATCAGAGCCAGCCGTCCAGTCTGTTCGTCTCGTTTCAAATTACAAACTCAGAAGTTTTATTTTTTCGTTTGTTTCCCTCAACATCTTTGTCTGCGTTTCATTCGAAATTGGGTTAAACAAATTTTACTGCCATGAAGAAAAATTGTAGAAAAATCGTTTTACGGCAGCAAAAAAAAAAACCATGTAAGAAAAATAATATTACAAAGAAAAAATAATTCGAATGCGGACCATGATGATGATGATGATGATGAGGAGGTTGGCGACGGCGTGGATAAAACGCACCGAGCATGTAGCTGAGCCCCTGATGATGGATGACAAATGCAAGCACGTTTCTGCACACACACACACACATATATATACATATACAAGTAGTATATATACATTAAGAATGTTTCTTGCATTTAACGAAAAATATGTTTGTCGGCAGTCGTCTCAGACCCTTTTGCTTCTCCTGCCTTTCCTGTGCGGGGCAGACAGACAGTCAGACAGAGAGACAGACAGACAACGAGTTCCCTCTATAGTCTCTCGATTTTGTTGCTTTTGCTTTTCAATGGCAGTTAATGGAAAATCATTTATCATGTGCGTGTCTCTATGAAGCAGCCGCCAGTCAGCAGTCAGCAGTCATCAGTCGCAGATTAAAGATTCAAGCATCCATTGGAGTAAACAAAAAGTGCCATAACTAAATGATAATTACCAGTAAGAAAAGAACAAAAAACAAAAATCAAAATCAAGCATTAAGGCTCCCCATTCAGTATGCGCTTAAATGATCAATGGTCGTTGCCACAATTTGTAATGGTCAATGATCATTTTTTTATTTTTTTTTTTGTTGAGCGCACTTACAATTTTTATTTCAGGCAACAAATTGTTCCAAACATGTTTTTCCCTTCATTTTCTTGCTTCTTTTTCTACAAATTGATTGAGGTAATAATTTGA